GTGGCACTACTTACGTGGCACTGTGTCTGACGTGGCACTGCTGATGTGGCACTGCTGATGTGGCACTGCTGATGTGGCACTGCTTACGTGGCACTATGTCTGACGTCCCTCCTGACGTGGCACTGAGTCTGACGTGGCACTGTGACCTGGCACTGCTGATCTGGCACTGTGACGTGGCACTGCTGACGTGGCACTGTGACCTGGCACTGTGACGTGGCACTGCTGATTTGGCACTGTGACGTGGCGCTGTTGACGTGGCACTGTACCGAATCGGGATGCATGCAAGGGGTGGGTGGGAGGGAAAATGTAGGTAGGTAACCAACCCAACAATCTTTCCTCCGACCCTAATCAACAGATAAACTAAAATAAAAAATAAAAGACGACTTCTTTCTTTTTTTTATTTATATATATCTGTCGATCTATGATGAGTAGGATATGTCAGAAAGGTATTATGAACGAGATCTAGGCTAGATTCCGCAAAGTTTCGGCTTTTACAAACTGCGATCTTTGAAATTTTTTTTGCGAAATGAAGTAAAGATGCGATTTTCAGAAAAGAATGAAATCCAGTTTCTGAGAATATAGCAACCTCCGAATATGCCTAATGCAATATTGGTAGGCTTCGCAAGATTCGGTTTTCAAATAACATTTGCGAGATAGAATGAAAATGCGATTGTCAGAAAAGAATAATTTCAGTCTCCGAGAATATGACCACTTCGATCGTTATCCCAATATGCCTAGAGAACGAAAATACTAACTTCAGAAATTTTAGCTATGTATGCGAAATATCAGAAAAACGAAATGCTACTATCGGGAATTTTCAGACAAAGCGAAATGCGATTTGTCAGAAATTTTCAGATATTTGTCACGTAAAAACGAACTACCAATATCAGAAATTTTCAGATAGGACGAAAATGCGAATATCATAATTTTCAGATAGTTGTTGCGATAATTTGTTTTACAGAGATTTAACTAAGTCCTACTTGCGTTACTAATGAGTGATCAATTGATCGCAAGCTGGCTACTTGATTGGGCGGGTCCTCTGAATGAGAGGTCCGCTCCGATACCAAACTGTTGCATACTGTAACGTGCAGACCAGAACAAGAACCGACCTTTCAATACAAAGTACAAGATAACACAGCGGAAGACTTAGATACCAGTGATCCGAACAATCAATGTTGTAATGCAGCCCTGAACATACATCATCATCATCGTTACATGGTGTGAATGGGTCTGGCGCTTCACACAAGAAGAGAGCGCCAGCCCATACCATACACAGACGAGAAGGAAGGGGATAGACGAAAAGGAGGGGGAAGATGGGAATGTCGTCAACACCAAGTCTTCGGCACAGGCCCAAATAGTCCCTCGTCGAAATGTCTGAATCCCAAATGTCAAGGCTGGATCCAATGTTGTCAAGTCTCAAGTCACAACTCTGTCTCTCTTTGTCGTAGTCTAAGAAGTCAGGTGGCGAGAGGGTGAGAAGAGAAGGTGGACTTAGAAGAGGAAGAAGAAAAACTCTCTCTCTCTGTATCCAGTACTAACCTGAGAAGTTGGCGTCTTGATGCAGGTACCACGAAGATGGAGCTGGAGCGATGGCGCCATAGGTAAGTAACACTGGCCTCCGCCAGTCTCTCTCCCACTCTACGATCTACCACCTACCAGCGCTGAAGACTATAGCTACAGCTATGGCGCCCAGCGCCGAAGACTACAGCTAGCGCTTCTACTACTTACCGCTGGAGACTACTGCAGCGCTCCTCCTGAGTGCTGTAGCCTAATCCTGAAGACTACCTCGTGACTACTGAACTACCTACTCGTGAAGTGCATGGGAACTTCCTATGTACTACGGGTGTGCCTCCTGAGCCTGTCGAAGGGAGGCAGGGGCTGCAGCTGCAGCTCCTGCTCAAACTCATGAGGAACAGGCTATTTCTGGCCTGTTACGCATCCCTATTTACGTGCCTGAGTCTTAGGGGTAGGTCGAAACAATGAGGGCCTGAAAATGGCCCTCCGTTTCAGGCTGAAAACTCTGGGTCTGAAAAGACCCA